CAAATCTTTTCCCACACTCAGAGCAGCTAAATAGTTTCTCCCCTGTGTGAGTTCTCATGTGTTTCTTCAAAACGTCACTGTAACCAAATCTTTTCCCACACTCAGAGCAGCTAAATGGTTTCTCTCCTGTATGCGATCTCATGTGTTTTTTCAGATCTCCACTTTGACCAAAGCTTTTCTCACACTCAGAGCAGCTAAATAGTTTCTCTCCTGTGTGAGTTCGCATGTGTTTCTTCAAAACTCCACTGTGACCAAATCTTTTCCCACACTCAGAGCAGCTAAATAGTTTCTCTACTGTGTGAGTTCGCATGTGTTTCTTCAAAACTCCACTGTGACCAAATATTTTCCCACACAAAGAACAGCTAAATGGTTTCTCACCTGTATGAGATCTCATGTGTATCTTCAAATCTCCTCTGTAATTAAATCTTTTCCCACACTCAGAGCAGCTAAATCTTTTCCCACAAACAATCAAATCATTGACAGGGACTTCATCATTTTTTAGAGAGCTGAAACCTGACTGAGGTTCTCTGGTCTCTGTCCAATCATCACTGTCATCAGTCTCAGGTTGTAAATGTGTATCTGGATCTGAGTTCCTGGCTGGTTCTGCTCCTCCACAGTCCTCTCCCTCTGCTTCTGTTTCCATCTGTTCAGTGTGTCTTTGATGAAGCTGTGAGGACTGAGGTTTCTCTTCATCATCTTCACTCTTCACAGGGACAGGAGAGAATGTGAACTTGATGATATCATCCTCCTCCAGCCCTTGAAGCTGCTCTCCCTCCTGACTGATCCAGAGTTCCTCCTGTTCCTCTTTAATGTGTGGAGGCTCTGGGTCCTCCTGGTCCACACTGGAGCTCCACTCCTGCTGCTCAGGGGGAACCTCTTCTTTAACCACCGACAGCTGCTGGATGTCTGCAGGAAACACACACACACACACACACAAAGATGTTACAGAGAAATGTGGTCGGTCATTCATTCATCCATCCATCCATCCATCCATCCATTTTCATCCGCTTATTCAGGGCCGGGTCACGGGCGCGGCAGGCCAAGCAAAGCACCCCAGACATCCCTCTCCGCTGGAGGACCCCAAGGTGTTCCCAGGCCAGACGAGATATGTAATCCCTCCAGCGTGTTCTGGGTCTGCCCCGGGGCCTCCTACCAGTGGGATGTGCCCGGGATACCTCCAGTGGAAGGCGCCCCGGAGGATTCTAATCAGATGCCTGAACCACCTCAACTGACCCCTTTCGATGCGAATGAGCAGCGGCTCTACTGCGGGCTCCCTCTGGATGTCCGAGCTCCTCACCCTGTCTCTAAGGCTGAGCCCAGCCACCCCACGGAGCAAACTCATTTCTTTCCGGCTCAGCTCCCTCTTCACTATGACAGACTGGTGCAGCACCCGTATCACTGCAGAAGCAGCACCGACCCATCTCACGCTCCATTTTACCCTCACTCGTGAATAAGACCCCAAGATACTTGAACTCCCTCACTTGAGGCAGCATTCTCGGAACCCATCGGCTGTACTCGGTGTCTGACTTCCAGCAGACGGCGATACAGCCTCTGGGGGCAGACCCCTGATTTTTTGGCATTCCAGTTTGATTTGGCCGGAGAAAGCGAACTTCCGTTTCTGACTTCCGTTTATATAAGTAAATATGCTGAACCATTGCGATGGATTCAGAGTTTGCAGTGACGCCAATTATGTTCCGCCTCGTTAGTTCACCACATGGACCGTTTAACCTGGCAACAACTGCAGCCAGCTCAAACGTGATTGGTCAATATCACGCGGACTACAAACAGCTCCAATCGGAAACCAGGGCTCTTCCGCTCTTCTTCCGGAGGCAAGATCTCCGGGGTTTGCCTGCAGACTCTACATTCACTGAATCATGAGTCTGTATATAGAGACGATTGAGGCAGTAACTCTCCCCGAACCTGGAGAGGGCAATCCACCGGTTTTCGACAGAGAACCATGGCCTCAGACTTGGAGGTGCTGACTTTCATACTAACTGCTTCACACTCTGCTGCAAAACGCCCCAATGGATGCTGGAGGTCACGGTGTGATGGAGCCAACAGAACCACATCATCTGCGAAAAGCAGAGATGCAATTCTGAGGTCCCAAAGCGGACCACTTCCTCCCCCCCCGCTGCGCCTCGAAATCTTGTCCATGAAAGTCACAAACAGAATTGGTGACAAGGGACAACCCTGGCGGAGGCCAACACCCACCGAGAACATGTTCGACTTTACACCAAGTATGTGCGGACACAGCTCTCACTTTATTGTCTCGCCTGAGACAAGCCCTGCTTTCCCTTCCTGAGTTGGTTAACGGTGAACTGCCAGAACTTCCTTGAGGCCTGTTATTTGACCAGGGTTGACGCCCCAGTTGCTGGACACGCTATGCTACCTTCTTTATCCAAATGTTGATTCAGAGTCCATGAAGCTTCTTGCATTGCATCACCGAAACATTTATTTTGCGTGTGCATGGCAAAGTCCATCTGTTATATACATATTTGACGTTCAGTACAAAACAAACAAACAAAACTGTAGCGTTCCGCGCCATTGCGGTCAAAAACCATTTGCCCTTCCGGGCCAAACACCTGTGAGGTCACATCCTAAAATACCTGAACTCACCAGGTGACAGTACAGCGCCCCCCAATGCCCACACAGTGAATTACACAGTTAGAAGCAAACCTCCTAATAACACATTTGGCTCCTATAAGGCCAACCGAAAGTCCTTCTCCATAGCCTCCCCAAACTCCTCCCACACCCAGGTTTTTGCCTCAGCGACCGCCACGGCTGCAGCCCTAATGGCCAACCGGTACCTGTCTGCTCGCCCTGTGGGCCCGCCATCCGCAGGGACAGAAATTGGGGTCGAGTGCATTGTGTGCCGAGCGGCAGGCATAGGACAGATGATTATAGACTGCATAATAATGACATGATCACTAATATAAGGAAACCTAAACAAACAAGGTTTAACTCATTGTTAACCCATTGTTCCCACCCAGTCTATCTGAATTATGTTGCATGGACACAGTGGTAAAGCAACACTATGTCCAATGTACTCTGATTTAATTCTGCCATCTAGTGGACACTTATGCGAATACAATGTACCGAATACTGTTACATCAGCTTCCCCTCCGAAACTGGTGAAATGGCTGCACCCAATAGTAAACGTCTTGGTACGTCAGAAATGTATCTGTTAACAGGCCATTTCTGTCGTCTTAATGTGTATTTGACGCGTTAAAACCAACATATTTGACTTGTTAATACGGACGACAAAACAGACGTTTAGAACCCTTCCGGAAAAGCTAACGGCACCAGAGAAACTAACGGCACCACAGAAGCTAACGGCACCAGAGAAGCTAACGACACCAGAGAAGCTAACGACACCACAGAAGCTAACGGCACCAGAGAAGCTAACGGCACCAGAGAAGCTAACGACACCAGAGAAGCTAACGACACCACAGAAGCTAACGGCACCAGAGAAGCTAACGGCACCAGAGAAGCTAACGACACCAGAGAAGCTAACGACACCACAGAAGCTAACGGCACCAGAGAAGCTAACGGCACCAGAGAAGCTAACGACACCACAGAAGCTAACGGCACCAGAGAAGCTAACGGCACCAGAGAAGCTAACGACACCAGAGAAGCTAACGACACCACAGAAGCTAACGGCACCAGAGAAGCTAACGGCACCAGAGAAGCTAACGACACCAGAGAAGCTAACGGCACCAGAGAAGCTAACGGCACCAGAGAAGCTAACGACACCAGAGAAGCTAACGACACCAGAGAAGCTAACGCGGTGTATAAACGTCGACAGACTGAATATTTATTGAACAAAGCTGCAGTTATATTATTAATAATGAACTTGTAATGTTTAATGAACAAACCTGCTCTGTGTAACCGAAGCTGAGGGTTGAAAACAGCGTCCAGTAGTTTCCGTTGTCGCTCGTTCTCCTCTTTTGATCGACAAAGTTCCTCCTCGTACTCTGCTATCGTTCTTTCAAACAGCCCAAATATCTCTTCAGCAGCCGCAGTTAGTCGCTGCTTCACCAACGCTCTCAGCATTTGGACTTTAGACATGTTCACACTTTAAAAACACAACAAAGACACTCTAACACACACTTCCAACAGACGCCATCTTGTTCAGTGTGACGTTCGCAACAATAAAGAGTAAAGCTTCCGGTAGAGATGAGCTCATGGGCTTCAAAATAAAAACATGCAGGAGGATAAATGATGAAAATACGCTTAATCGAAAGAATGACTTTTATTTAACTGTTCCAGTTGATATTTAGTTTAGTTCATTTGATTTTATATATGCAATTAAAAAAAAATTAGTACATGAGCAACAGAAACATGATGGAAAGGTGCGAAAAATCCTTGGAGTGACTTTATCGAGGCACTTTCCAGTGTATACCCTAATCCATTAGTTAACTTAGTAAAATACTACAAAGTGGAAAAATAGAAAGACAATGATAAAATCCATACAGACCATGTACATGATAACACAAAATTAAGATCACTTAATATTAGTAGACAGTTTACACAGGGAATCCATAAGTGTAACATCAGAATGGTTACATCCAGCCTTTAAAGGGGAACTGATGTTTTTTCAACCTAGGCCCTATTTTCCGATCTACTTTTGTCTAAACGAGTGATAGGATGTTCAGTAGTATTATTTAATATAGCGCGCTATATTAAATAATAAGGGTCTCAGACAGCGTCAAACAATGTCAAAATACGTCCACTTAAAGTGCATTTTTTTCACACAGGTAGGCACAGATTGTTAGCATAATTATCCAACAACATAACAGAAAGGAGAAATGAACGCCTATGTTTTCCTTGAGCTGGATTCGGACATGTTCCTCTGCCTGTTGCAATTTTATTATATGTGCTACCGAAGTAACACTGCTCCCTCGTTTGACGCTGTCTGAGTGCCCTATTATTTAATATAGCGCACGCTCACGGGCTGCAGGCAGGTCAGCCCTAGCTTCGTACTGGAGAAATATCAAATATTGAACATCCTATATCTCATTTAGACAAAAGTAGATCGGAAAATAGGGCCCAGGTTGAAAAAAACATTAGATCCCCTTTAATGTTTTGATGGGCAGTTTACACAGATAGTCCATAAGTGTAACGTTCAGAAAATAAAATCAAACCTTTAACACATAATCCATCAGTATAACTTTTTTCCAGAGCTGAGTGTTGCTCCATTGTTATCTGCTGTGTTAGTTGATCCAACCATTGGGAGATGATGAGTTTTTTTCTGATTCTTAATAGTATTGTTTTCTTGGCTATAGTTCACAAGTAGGGCAGAGCTGCCAACTCTTTTCCAATGAAAGTAGCTAGCATTAGCTCCAAAAAATCGCTTAAAGTCTCCGGATGACATCATATGCATACATGGATGTTGATGACGTCTTCGTAGACTGAATCACTGTGACCTTGATATAAACCTTCCAGGTAGAAATTGCAAACTGTTGTGAATTGCAGTGATATGTGAATTCAGCAAACCTGTTTATTTTTGTTATTTTCAGCCATGACTAAAACATTTAAAGATATATAGTTTAACACCATGGTTCATCCTGTCTGACATTTCTGCTGTGCTTATTTTATGTCTTGAGTTGCTTTATTACTTCCCTTACTTTCACTCGCCTCTGCAGCAGCTGCTCCTCTCATCCATCAATCAGATCAGCTCTAATTGGAGCTCTTGATCAGTTATCCACCCCATGACTCATACTACGGCTGCTAAGGAGAAACACAATAAAAACAACCAACGAAGAGTTCCACATGCACTGTCGTTGTGAACCCGTAAAACCTCTGAATTTCAAGAGGGGACACAGAATGATTCAGATGGACCCAAAAGAGACTATAAATGGCATGGGAGCTAGGTAGAAAAAAGGGCTGTTTCTATCAAAGTAGTCTGGTGACTGTGGACGGGGACAGCAGCAAAACCTATCTTAGCCACATAAAAACAGGGTCACCTAAACAATATCCACATCAGTTTTACAAAAATGTCTGAAATGATGTTTTCACTTAATCATTATGGGCTATTTTGTGCAGATTCTTAGAAGAAAGCTATGATCAAGTCAGTTCTAGAATTTAGCACCCAGAGTAGCTCTCCTGCTCTGGATCCAAGTACAGGAAAGAGCCAAATTGCTGCATGCCCTGCCCCTGACAAGCAGCAAAAGTCCAGTCACCAACGGATAACAGGTTTTGACCCAGCTTGGCTGTCAGAGGGGAAATACTCCGCCTGGCTGCACAAGACTGATCTTGGTAAGTACATACATTTAAATACATAAAACATCAATGTTTGGGTCTGTATCAGTCATGAGTGTTTTTAAAATCTTATTCCAAAGAGATTTTTTTTCAGACTAAACAGCTGAATAACTTTTCTCCTGCATGAATTTTCATGTGTGACTGTAAATTTCCATTTTGTGTAAATGATTTCCCACAAATTGAGCAGCTAAATGGTTTCTCTCCTGTATGCACTGTCATGTGTTTCTTCAGATTTCCATTTTGACCAAATCTCTTCCCACACTCAGAGCAACTAAATGGTTTCTCTCCTGTGTGAGATCTCATGTGTTTATTCAAATCTCCACTGTGACCAAATCTTTTCCCACACTCAGAGCAACTAAATGGTTTCTCTCCTGTATGAGATCTCATGTGTTTATTCAAATCTCCACTGTGACCAAATCTTTTCCCACATTCAGAGCAACTCAATGGTTTCTCTCCTGTATGTGCTCTCATGTGTATCTTCAGATCTCCACGGTGACCAAATCTTTTCCCACACTCAGAGCAGCTAAATGGTTTCTCTCCTGCATGAGATCTCATGTGTCTCTTCAGATTTCCATTTTGACCAAATCTTTTCCCACACTCAGAGCAGCTAAACAGTTTCTCTCCTGTGTGAGTTTTCATGTGTATCTTCAGATCTCCACTGTAATCAAATCTTTTCCCACACTCAGAGCAGCTAAATGGTCTCTCTCCTGTATGAGATCTCATGTGTCTCTTCAGATTTCCGTTTTGACCAAATCTTTTCCCACACTCAGAGCAGCTAAATGGTTTCTCTCCTGTATGAGTTATCATGTGTCTCTTCAGATCTCCACTGTAATCAAATCTTTTCCCACACTCAGAGCAGCTAAATCGTTTCTCACAAACAATCAAATCACTGACAGGGACTTCATTATTTTTCAGACAGTTTAAACCTGACTGAGGTTCTCTGGTCTCCGTCCAATCATCACTGTCATCAGTCTTTTGTTTTAAATGTGTATCTGGATTTGAGTTCCTGTCTGGTTCTGCTCCTCCACTGTCCTCTCCTTCTGCTTCTGTTTCCATCTGTTCAGTGTGTCTTTGATGAAGCTGTGAGGACTGAGGTTTCTCTTCATCATCTTCACTCTTCACAGGGACAGGAGTGGATGTGAACTTGGTGATATCATCCTCCTCCAGCCCTTGAAGCTGCTCTCCCTCCTGACTGATCCAGAGTTCCTCCTGTTCCTCTTTAATGTGTGGAGGCTCTGGGTCCTCCTGGTCCACACTGGAGCTCCACTCCTGCTGCTCAGGGGGAACCTCTTCTTTAACCACCGACAACTGCTGGACGTCTGCAGGGAACAGGAAACACAAACACACACACACACACACACACACACACACACAGATGTTACAGAGAAATGTTGCTGTTCATTCACATCACAGCTCAAAAACTCCTTACTGAACTTCTACAGATCTCTGAGCATCAAACAGCTTCACAGTGTTCACTCAGCTGTGTCAGAGTGAGTGAGGTTGAGGTGAGCTTTAATTTCATAGCAGTCATTAATATGTACTGTTACTCTTGTCATGTCTGGAGGCTACAGTGTGGCTCTTTATTTGCTCAGTCTAAAGTGAATTATGTGAGAATGATTGTCCATTGGATGCGAGAGCTTGCAGTGAGTCAAGTTTGATTACTGGCAGCCTGAGTAAATAAGATGCTGTTAGTACATCAACTCAAGTACTACTGCAGTACAAATTTGTGGTTCTTTAACTTCACTCGAGAATTTCTAAAAAAGTGTATGAGAGTGAGGCAGAGCCAATTAGGACTGGGTATCGCCACTGATTTCCTGAATCAATTCGATTTCGATTCAAGGGGTCTCGATCCATTATCAATTTGACTGGGGATTTTTCAGTTACAAGACCAGTCCCTCCAGGATCTCGCGACAGAAAAACCTTGAATTTGCGGCAAATTTTGTCAAAAATTGCGATAACATTGCAGCAAATGACAAAAATTACAAGTCAGGAGAAAGAAAAATAAAAAAAAAATTAAGCTGCCTCCAAAAAATAAGTCATGTAATCACTTGCTATAATAATCATACTGAATTTTACAAAAACAGCTGCAATAAAGTTGCAAAAAATTCAGAGAATATTGTAGCCCTCAAACCAGACAGTGTGACTGTAAAACAACATGTAAGCTACATCTTCTGTAAACATAACATTTCAATAAATTCAACACATATTGTCTGCATTTAAACAGTGCAAATTCTTATGTCCATACAGAGAGTTTCTCAATACTGTAATGCCATTAGCGCATTTGATGATGCGTCTGATGACGTTTCAAATGACGTCGCATTTGCGGCGACTTCCGGTCAACCGTAAAATATGGAAAAAACATGGAAAAACCGCAGGAGTTTTGAAAAATTGCAAGCCCCCGCAAATATTGCGGACTTTTGTTTAATTTGCGTTAATTATTGCAATCGCAAGATGGCACTTTTCTGGAGGGACTGCAATACCAATTTTTGCTAGTATGTGAAAGAGATTCTCAGAGATCTAATCGTGTAACATTTACAAGGAAGTATTTTTTTAAAAAGAAGAAATTCACAACAGGAATAAAACGGAATATTTCATAATTAAATGTTGTTTCTGGAGCAGCAACAGTAATATTAAAACAGCAAAGTCACAATACAAACTTAATATCTCACTGGAAACAAAATAAAAATGTCAATAAAATAAATCATATTCCTGACATCACAGTACTGAGTGAATTTTCAAAGAATGAATAGAGAATACAGACATCAGTCAGTATCAGTCCTCCTGTCTACTGATGATGACTCACTGCCTGCAGGTCACATGACCACCGACTTTTTCCTCGAGCAGGTTTTATTGCACGTAAAGTAACAAGTGTAGCTGTCATCAGCTCAAGTTATCTTCACCTCTCTCAATTGTAGTGAAGAATAGACATGTCACACATCAAACAGGTCATTCCAAATACACTGGACCCACTGCAATTTGCATATCGCCAGAACCGTTCCACTGACGACACCGTTAATGCAGCCATTCACACAGTCCTTTCACACCTCCAACACAAAAACACTTACGCTCGAATGCTGTTTATATATATGTAGTCCGACTGAAATTGTGCTATCTGTAGCTCGACTAACACACCTCGATAATTTGATTGAAAATCAAACTGTTGCTACATGTATCTCTTTAGTTCGACTTGGCGTTCTGCACATGTGCCACGTTTTCTTTCGCGGGCTTTTACCCAGAAGAAGAAGGAGATAACGTAGCAATAACTCCCGGAAAAAAAACAACAAAAAAAAAAAACATGTCAATGGAGAAGCAGAAGACGCACTTCTGGACGGACGAGGAAACTACATTCATGGTCCGACAGCTAAAGGAGCTAAACATTGTGAAGTGTATGGATGGTAGGAAAACGCGTAACAGAGATTTATTTTAAAAAGTTTCTGAACAACTGTTAGCTTCCTCTTCGGGTCAACCAAAAGTAGTTCAATACGCAAGGACAGACGCCGCCTATCGAGACGGAGTCAGACGTACTTGGTCAGAAATTGATTTTCTCTTCTACACGTATACCCAGACAAGACTAGAAGTCCAACTTGACTGATTAGCCGAGCTAGCTTAGCTCAGTGGACAGGGTGAAAACCTTCAAACTCCTTGGCACATCAGCGAAGATCTCACCTGGACTCACAACACACAACAGATCGTCAAGAAGGCTCAACAGAGACTCTTCTTCTTCTTGAGGAAGCTGAGGAAATTTGGACTACCCTCCAAACTCCTTGGCAACTTTTACAGACGCACAGTGGAGAGCATCCTGACAAACTCCATCACAGTGTGGTACGGGAACTGCACTGTTCAGGGCAGAAAGGCTCTCCAGCGTATCATTAAAACGGCACAATTCATCTGCAGAGCAGCCCTCCCCCCACTACAGGACATCTACGACACCCGGGTCACAAAAAGGGCACTAAACATCATTAAGGACCACACCCACCCACAAAACACACTGTTCACACACCTGCCGTCTGGCAGACGCTACAGAAGTGTGAAAGCAAGAACAACAAGACTAAAAAAACAATTTCTATCCACAAGCCATCAGACGACTTAGCCGGTGATTACCTGTACATATACATATTGGACAATGTGACAATATTTGATACTATTTGCACAACATTCTGACTGTACTTAATACTTGCTCTCTTTTTTATTATTACTTATTTCTATTTATCTTAGTTTAGTCAGTGTGTATTTTAGTGGTGTCAAGGCAACTCTTAAAGTAAGAATTTCATTGCCTGTAACCACCTTTACGTTTGCTGTGTACATGATAATAATTCTCTTGAATCTTNTTTAGTGGTGTCAAGGCAACTCTTAAAGTAAGAATTTCATTGCCTGTAACCACCTTTACGTTTGCTGTGTACATGATAATAATTCTCTTGAATCTTCAATCTATCAGCTGGATAAGAATTTGTATTAAGTTGCTGCTGGGGCTTGGGGTTTACTTTGTGCTGACTGAATATACTCAAGGCGGGATTTGACGTTTTGTAATTAATAACATGGTTATTGTAGATTAGCTGGGTTAACCGTTAGCTGTTAGCTGTTAACAGTGTCTTTAATAACTCAGTAACTCAATAAACGGTTACAGTTACAGTATTTGTACTAGTTACAACATGATTGAGCTAGCAAAGCAGTTTTGTGTTGCTATGTGTGGCATTTATTTAGTTTTGGGAAATCAAGATGTCCAGAAAGCATCAGTGGCTGCAGCTGACAGGGACAGCTAACAGCAGCAGCAAAGCTAACATCAGGACGCCATCTGTTAAAAGCCTCCCATTGTCAGATACGACATGAAACTACTCCAGTTAGCTCAATCATGTTGCAACTAAGACATCCGCTGGGAAAAATATTTTTTTCACGGACCGTTTATTGAGTTACTGACTGATTACAGACACTGCTAACGGCTAACAGCTAACTATGTCCCTATGCCCCTACGTCGCCCTGCTCAAAATGGTCATCCAGAGCCTGGTAACTATACAGGAAAATTCCACCTACTCTGTTGTCTCAGTGGAGACACGGTGGTTGATAGGGCCGAGCGAGAGGACGTTACTGTAGTAGTTCCTGCCCTCCAAATAGTACCAAGAACTTCTTCAGTGGAAACGGGCCTTTTACAAACAAGCCACAGTGCCCTGCTAGTGCTGTTTGCTGTGTAAGATGAGAACCCCCTGGCAGAAGAGAGAGTTCGTCTCTTCTCTACAGAAGACACCGACAGAGTCTGACCTTTTATTTTTATCCAATTAAGACACAAAAATGACTTGACTCAACTTGCTTGAGACTAGCAAATGTGTGACTTGACAGATACCTGACTGAGGTTCTCTGGTCTCCGTCCAATCATCACTGTCATCAGTCTCAGGTTGTAAATGTGTATCTGGATCTGAGTTCCTGGCTGGTTCTGCTCCTCCACAGTCCTCTCCCTCTGCTTCTGTTTCCATCTGTTCAGTGTGTCTTTCATGAAGCTGTGAGGACTGAGGTTTCTCTTCATCATCTTCACTCTTCACAGGGACAGGAGTGGATGTGAACTTGGTGATATAATCCTCCTCCAGCCCTTGAAGCTGCTCTCCCTCCTGACTGATCCAGAGTTCCTCCTGTTCCTCTTTAATGTGTGGAGGCTCTGGGTCCTCCTGGTCCACACTGGAGCTCCACTCCTGCTGCTCAGGGGGAACCTCTTCTTTAACCACCAACAGCTGCTGGACGTCTGCAGGAAACAGGAAACACACACACACACACAC